ACTAGGGCAGACTCAGTCCACCGTTCCCCCAACGATACTCCGGAAAGACCGCGTCTTCGTCCGCCCGCACCTCACGCAGAACATCCAGGAAGGGGACCACGTGCGGGTCCCCACTACCCACGTAGAACCTGGCAGTTCCTCCATTGGGCCAAATCCGCCCGGCCCAATGAAGGAACCTTGGCCCAGCGCTGGGGGCTATAAATACCCTCTGTTTCCAGAGGGTCAGGTATTCATCATTCTAACCTCAACTTACTATTATCTGCTCGTACTCCTACTTACTTCAGCATCGGAGTGCCTTGCAGGTACCCCCCCCACCTCGTTCAAAAAAGCTTTCTGCTCGGAGCCAGCCGTGACGGTCCATTTATGATCAGGTCAGATCAATAAGGACTACATTTTTCCTTCATAAATAGTGGCTTGAGGTTGCCTATTCAGAGAGATAGAGTTTGAAAAAATACCTCCTTCAGCTAGATTCGAGTAGGGCAATGCAGGGACTTTGATGGAGGCCTGATGATTGTTTAAGCTTCCTTAAACTTCCCTGAACCTATTCCAATGCTTAGCTTGCTCTGAGGATGGCTGAAACTCTCTAGACAAGTCAAGCTGCAAGCTTCCAAAGTGAAAATGGTGGATGCTGAAACAGAGGTTACAGAACTAGGGTGATGGCTTGGATTACTTTCGTATGATGTTTATGAGATGCTTGAAGTGTTTAAACACAAAACGCACGAGCCAAATGAGAGTTGGCTGTGCTTTTGCAGAATCTGAGTTTTTGGACAGTTTTGTGGAGTTTTTGAATTTCAGAGTGTTTCAGCTTCAATCCAAGCGTGTTGTGCATTGTAACAAGTTTGCAAATATGTAGAGAAGTGATACAAAATCAGCCCTTACTAGCTGTACAAGCTTAGGACCTTTTTGCAACTTTTCTTACATTTTAAGTAAAGTGAAGTGACCAATCCCACATGCTTGTACTTGCTGGCTTGAGAGCTGATAAGAGTTGGTATACATTGCTTGAGACCTGTAGAGTTTGCTTGTACTAAAGGGACAATTTCAATGCTCAAGATTGACAAAGTTGCAAAAGTTTAACTTTATGAAAATGGCATTGTAACCTTTTGGCCAAAAATGGAAATACACATTGTGTAAAGGTTCAAAAGAAAAGATAAAGCCTTTGTCAACTGAGTTTGCATTTAATTATGGAGTGTATAGCAAGCTTATGACCTGTAAAGCAAGATACAACCAGCATAGATGTGATTTGCAACTTGATGCTATGTGAAAATGGCTTGAATAAAAGTGAGAAAATGCCAACTTCCCTTCTTCGATTCTCCCTACTCAAAAATGATCTTGGAGAGTTCTTGGACATTTTGGAAAGATTTCAATATGATCTATAATCCATATTTGAAATGCAATTTGAGATACCTCTTGTAACTAGGTTAAAAATGTCCATGAAGTTGGGTCCAAAACCTGCCTAATTAGGGCAAAATTTCACTAAGTTAAGAAGTTCATGGACCTATATTCACAAATTCATAACTTGATATCCAAGCATCTTTTGGGAAAAGTTTGTGAAGAAAAGTTGTATATTTCATGGAGGACTACAACTTTCTTGTTTTAAGTTTTCTTTGAATCAAAATGCATCTTGGTGAAAAAGTGGTGAAAAGTTGGGGAAAAATAAGAAAATTTTTATACTTAGAAAAATTCTAAGTTATGAAAATTTTCAAATTAAAACCCTAATTTTCAATTTTGAGTTTCTTGGCGAACAAGTTTCATATTTTAACATATCTTGATGAATTATGACCCTTGGCACTTGATTTTGACCAAAAAGTCAAAGTTTGACTTTTCAGTGCACAATTGACTTTTGATCAGTTGACTGCAAAATTCATCTGTCAATCCAATGAACTTGAGATCTTTTGAACCATGTAATTAGGTCAAGATGATGCCATTGAAACCTTGAAATCATGCTTGAACTCAATTGGTCATTGGCTATGTTAAAAATCAGAAATTGCCCTTTCTCAGTCAAAACCCTAATTTTGACCATTTTGCCCTTTTGATGATTTGATCAAATTTCTTGAGGAGTTGTGATCCAAACTTGATCAAATGGTACATATGAGTCTAAAATGTTGATGTGGATCAAAAATTATGAAGTTTGACTGTAAATTGGCCACAGTTGACTTTTTTCCCAATACAGTTGATTTTTAGGTCAACTGTCCAATTGACTGATCAAAAATGTGGTTCAAGGCTTGAAACTTAACATGAGCAATCTTAGGGGTCCAAGAGGATGTATGAAAGTCACATGAAGCATTGGTGGTCCAAAAAATCCTTGTGCAAACTCAAACCCTAATTTTAGGTTATCAGTGCAAGATGAGGTGTCTTGAGCTGAGCAAACCCTGATCTTGTCTTGAGTCCAAGAAGTCTTGTGAGAAAAATCTTGATAAATGGGAGGGTAAAGTTTGGGGTACAACAGCATGCTTCAAGTAGTCGAATGCCTATGGAATATGAGGAAAACTTTAATCTGATCGATGAGATGGTTGAGGATGCTTTTGGTGTGAACGTGACATATGATCAAATTGAAGATTTTGACGGGGAAGAGTTGCCGAATAAGGAAGCGCATAAATTTTATCAGTTGTTGAATGAGATGAATACGCCGTTGTTCGAGGGGTATTCAGACTCAAAGTTATCAATGTGTGTGAGATTATTTGCCGCCATGTCAAATTGGAACGTTCCTGATCAGTGTTTGGAACATTTCGCAAAAATGATGTTGAACTCCACCACTACGAAAGACAACTTGCCTACAAGTTTTTATGATGCAAAAAAGTGAGTGTCGAAGTTGGGTTTAAAAGTAAGAAAGATTGATTGTTGCATTAGTGGTTGCATGTTATTTTATGACAATGAGTTTGGTACTCAATATGGATTGTTGGAGGAATGTAAGTTTTGTAAGAGTCCAAGATATCAAGTTCGCAGTAGAGCCATTAACAGCAAGCAAAAGCGTGTAGCAGTAAAGTCCATGTTTTATCTTCTAATAATACCAAGGTTAAAAAGAATGTTTGCTTCAATGCACTGTGCAAGTAAAATGACATGGCATCATACAAACCAGGCAAGTTCAGGCACTTTGCAACATCCATCTGATGACGAGGCATGTAAGCACTTTGATCGGACACATCCTAATTTTGTCGTAGAACCTAAAAATGTCAGGCTTGGATTATGCTCTTATGGTTTTGCCCCATATGTGCAAGCATCGGGAAGTGCATATTCTTGTAGGCTAGTTATTATAAACCCCTACAACCTCCCTTATGAGATGTGCATGATAAAACCATACATGTTTTTGACGTACGTCATTCCAGGGATGTCCAGTCCAAAAGCCGGAATCGATGTATACTTACAACCTTTAATTGATGATTTGAAGAGGTTATGATTTGGAGAATAGACTTATGATATATCCCGTAAACAACACTTTACTTTGTGAGCTTCCTTGATGTGGACCATTAACGAATTTCCAACATATGGAATATTGTCTGGTTGGGGTACGCATGGGAAAATGGGTTTTCCGTATTGCATGAGATACACCAAAGCATTTACGTTGGATAAAGGGGGGAAAGCTCATGGTTTTACTGCCACCTCGCAGATTCCTACCAACAAATTATTCATATAGAAGAAACAAAACAA